AGATTATAAATAATACTTATTGAAAGTCACTTTTTTAATTTACCACTGGTTCGGAAAAAAAAACCTCCGTCCTGGGAAAAAACCAGCAAGAAACCCAGCAGGACTATTTTTTTTAAATAACAGTTTACAATCATGTATGTTCCATTTAACAACACAAAACAGATAATAGCTTGTTAGCGATCACCCTTCCAAAGGGTTATTATCATCTATAAATTCCTTAATATTATAATAACCCTTTTTATACAAACTTAGTTTAATGAAGTTTTCGAACTTTGTGTAAATTTAATTTTGTTTTATTTACTTGTTAACGGGCAACCGGTTTTTACTTAAATTTGCTTTGAAAGTATAGTAAATAAGATCGGCTACCAACTACGATCACTTAAATGTTTAACGGGAAAATGTTCGAGCAGTCAAAAAACTAATTTTAAAAAATCGACGAAATACACATTATGAAGAGCTTGATCTTATCTTAGGTATTTGACTAGCGGTAATGCAATATACATATATCACTAACGACCAACTTTCCCTTTGCTCTCCGTTGACGCACAAAGTTACCGATGTGTAGAAAAACTGTCGAGTGGATTCACAGCCTATTAAAGCCTACTGCGGAGCATGGGCCTTCTCCATAGATTGCCCCATGGGTGGGGGGGATATTTGCCATAGTTGCCACGCTTGGCAAGCGGGTTAGCAAGAATATTTTTTTTATTTTAGTCGAAGAAACTGCTGCCCGTCTCCTGATTTATTTCGCTCTGTCGACTTTTACTACACCCACAAGATAATATATCAAAAGTGATAGTAGCCTAATGGCAGGGCTCAGACCGCGAACTCAAAAGGTCGTGGGTTCGAATCCGCCATTCGACTACTGTCGTGAACCACTCCTAACACCACCACCACTCCTCCAAGCGTTTTAAGCTCACCAGGAGTGGTTAAAGAAATATTAGTAATGCAGTTTGTGATCATATCCTAGACGGCCCCAACCATTACATCAGATTTGATAGACCACAAATCCTCGCGAAAGAACACCGATTCCTACCAAGGATGATACGTGAGGCTATTAAAATTAAAAAACATCCTAATTTCAATAGAGAAGGAGGCTGGGTACTACCACCTGCTTGGGATCCTATAATCAATAAAATTAAAACTAAACCCAAGCATACCACTGCAAGACCTCAGGACATAGTCAGTTCATTTTGCATAGATCGGACCATAAACAATAATTAAAAAAGCTGAAGGTCCGGGTTTAACAATGACATCGGGACGTCAGTCATCTCAGTCCCCCGTGACCATGGGTGCTGGAAAGCGCCCGAAACGTCGGGAATTAAAAAATAAAAAGTAAAAATAAACGCGATAAAATCCGTAAAAGTAGTTTTAATCATGTGCAATGTTCGCGTAAATATAAGAAATCATTATGTTAATTAATAGGATTACTAATATTTAAAAAAAATTAAATAGTGGATATTTATATACCTCTATTAGGGGGGTTGAGTTCATTGATGGCAATTAATGATAGAAAAATGCGACAGAAGCGAAACTAAAAACGTTTATGATGCATTTTATACGTGATGGAGCCACGCTGCAGTTATATTATGGTTGTAGCACGAATCGGGCGGTTCTATTGGCTGGAAGGACCATCTCTCAAGTTACTATCGTTAAATTCGGCTGTGTTTCGTATGGTGTGTGTAGAGACTTGGAGACCATTTTAACTGGAAATGAGGTATTCCACATTCATGCATTTCAGCATCCACTTAGCTTCAGGCGGACTCTGTGCTCGTTTGTCACTCTTAAAAATAACATTTAACGAAAGGGAATTATATGGGTAGTCTAAATAATTTATGACTCTCGATGCACAGATTGACCGCGTTAGTACGGGCATAGAATAAAATAGCAGCTTGATGCTAATGTGTTTCGTATGGTGAGTGTAGAGAACCGGAGACCCTTTTTACTGGAAACGATGCATTCCTTCTTAGTCCTCAGGGGTGACAGCGTATTTGCGTTTTAATTCTTAATCCATAGCATCCACTTACCATCAGGTGGACTGTGTGCTCGCTTGTTACCCTTATTCTATAAAAAAAGAACAGGGTTTGTTTGTGAAGGTGTGCAATTAGTAAGTAAATTTCTAAATTCCTTAAGTTATATGATTTTTTTTAAATTAATTTGTATATATTATATTTTTACTTTTCAATAAGTTTATTTGAAACGGTGTAGAGGCTGTGTAAGAAAATTCACTACCCTATATCATCCCGTGACTATCGTAATAGGCGACGGAGGGAAACATATCAGGAGATAGACAGCAGCGTCTTCCAAATAACGACTAAAAATAAAAATAAACTCTCTTTGCCAACCCGCTTGCCAAGCATGGCAAGTGTGACAAATATTCCCCTATGAGGCTATCTATGAGGAAGGCCTATTTTCAGCAGTAAGCTTTAATAGGCTGTAACAGTAAATTTATTTTTTATTCAAGTTGTAGAACTTTGTACAATCTACGAACAATTGAGAAAATCGTAGTCCAGTAGGCGCGTTTGCCCTTTTTAAACCAAATTTAAAAAAAAACTAAGTCTACCAAGATCAAATATAATCAAATAATTAAAAATATTAAAAATATATCATAATAAATATTCAGATTACTAACCTGTGTTTTTTGATGCTAAGCCTTTATGATGCAAAACCTTTATGTGAACATTAATTAAAAAAAAAACTCTTCTTTATCATTCTCTTTTTTTTTTGAAATATTTCCCGCGCAATGTTGTATATTTTTTTTAAATCATGCCTAGGCAGCACGTCCTTACGCTACTGAAATTTATATGTTACTAAAAGCCAATCCATGACCTACTTATGAGGCGAATAAAGAGCTTTTATTTTTATATTCAGTGCATTAAATAAAGGGTGATATATGAATGATTTATGTATGGAGTGTTATGAAACATAGAATGTTAAATTCAAAATGATTTAAGACCGCTAAAACTAAAGTAATTTACTAAGATCCGCAAACAAAAATAAATGGATGTTTTTGGTGACCACAATAACTTATTTTGGCTGCCTCGTTGGTCTAGTGGTTATAGTAGTGCGACTGCTGATCATAAGGTCATGGGTTCGAATCCCGGGTCAGGTCAAAAAAATTAATTATTGAGTTAATCCGTTAAGAAATTCTCAGTAGTTGCCCGAAGTCAGGAAGTTGGCGGCGTCTCACCCCCGTGCCTCGGAAAGCACATAAAGCCCTTAGTCCTGCGCCTGATCTCTCTCCGGTCGTGTCGGTTTATCTATGGTTTACCGTCCCATCGGATTATGAGAGTCAGGGAACAGAGAGTGCACCTGTGCTTGCACATACACTTGGGCACTACAATCCTGTCCTGCGCTGATGGCAAGCCTCCGTTGAGGCAGGCCGCCGTGGCCGAAATTCGGTAGAGACAACAACAAACACGGATGGGTCAGCTCGACTGGGGTAGGAGTACGCTCTCCAGCATAAAATAGCAGCTTAATGCAGCTGTGTTTCGTATGCTAAGTTTAGAAAACCGTAGATCGTTTTTACTTTAAACGAGACATTCTATCTTAGTCCCGGGGAGACAACGCATCTGCATTTTTATTCTTAATCGAGGATAATTTTTTCTATGTGCCACAGCATCAGTGAACCATCAGGTTGACTGCGTAAAAAATTAAACAATAAAAAAATATATACCATAAAAAAGTTAAAATTTTCATGCGGATTTAAGCAAATTAACTGAAGTTTCTCAATTCAAATGTTGGTTCTTTTTGTTTTTTTTTTCAAATTTAAATTATAACTATTCCTTATAAAATTGCTATGGGTTTACATTAAATATTATGTAATTTTTGTATCCATATATTTGATTATATCGTTTAACGAGAAGTCTTTAAATTAGATTACTTTTTTTCTGTTTTATTTTGTCTCTAATCTATTATTTATTTTGCTTCATTTGTATATCATCGAAATAAGCTGTTTCGTAAGAAATTTCCTACTCATATGTCTACATAATGATTTCTTATATTTACGCGAATACTATACATTGATTAAAACTACTTTTACGGATTTTATCGCGTTTTTATTTATATTATTTTTATTTTTAATACCCGACGTTTCGGGTGCTTTCCAGCACCGTCACGGTGGTCTGAGGTGACTGACGTCCCGATGTCAAAGTTAACCCGGAGTACCTTCAGCTTTTTAATTATTGTCTTTGGTCCGATCTACGCAGAATGAACTAACTGTGTTTTGAAGTCTTGCAGTGGTATGCTTGGGCTTAGTTTTAATTTTATTAATTGTAGGATCCCAAGCAGGTGGTAGTACTCAGCCTCCTTCTCTATTGATATTAGGATGTTTTTTAATTTCAATAGCCTCACGTATCATCCTTGGTAGGAATCGAAGTTCTTTCGCGAGGATTTGTGGTCTATCAAATCTGATGTAATGGTTGGGGCCATCTAGGATATGACCGCAAACTACAGATTACCCGGAACGTTGATGCTTCACGTCAGCTATGTGTTCTTTTACGCGAGTTCTAATTGATCTCTTTGTTTGCCCTATATATGAGAGACCACAATCACAATCAAGCTTTTACACTCCTGCATCTTGTAGAGGAATCTGATACTTGACGGATGGTAAGAACTGACTAATCTTCTTCGGCGGCTTGTAGAATGTTCTAATAGAAGCTCGCTTCAAGACGTAGCCAATCTTGTCTGTGACACCTCTGACATATGGTAGTACAGCAGGCACACGCTCGACTGTGCCCGGCTTCACTCGGTCACTGTGACGGAGGCGCGGGTCCCGAAGCTTGTTGTCGTGCAGAACCTGCTTGACGTGCTGAAGCTCGGCGGCCAGGTGTTTGCTGTCACAGATCCCTCGTGCTCTCCGTAACAAAGATTTGCCCATGGTAGCTATCTGTGAAGGATAATGGTGAGATTCACCATTTAAGTATCGGTTTGTATGGGTCTTTTTTCTATACTCAGTATGACCTATGGTCGAAATCATAACAACACCGTATCTCACCAACAACATGGAAAAACACGAGCAACGAGGTCAGCACCCTCCGGAAGAGCCAAATGTAAAGCCTGAAGAGAACTCCTCAACAAAAAAAGATACGAGCGAAATTCAAGCGCTGACGATAGCATTGAAGGAAGCCCTTACCACACGAGGGGGACCAGCAGCTCAGCCAAAGTATATCCACGAGCTACCCTACTTCGATGGCAACTGCAGCGAGTGGTTGGCCTTCAAGGTGGTCTACGAAGATACCGCCCCGACGTTCAACGCAGTTCAAAACATGGCTCGACTAAGAAGAGCACTAAAGGGCAACGCAAGAGAAGCCATCAAGAGCCTGCTGTACTCTGAAGCCTCTCCACTGGAAGTAATGCAGACCCTCAAGAGAAGATATGGAAGACCTGATGCATTGGTGCTGGCTGAATTGGACAAAGTCAGGGCATTACCGAAGATTTCCGAAATTCAAGAGATATATGCGTCTTTGAGAGCCAAATCAACAACAGCGTAGCAGCAATAAAGGGTTTGAAGAAACCACAATACTTACATTCACCTGAAATGGTATGATTTTACTGCAGCAACAGAAGAGGGCGAGTTCTCCGACCTGACGATGGTCTCCAAGTTCCTGAACAGCGAAGCAGACAAATGTGGAGCCTTCGCGACCTCAGAAGAAAAGAGCGGGTTCAGAAGAACTCATCGAGAAGCGACGGATTCTACAAGGGAAAAAATTTTGAAGAAAAAGATACAAGTCAACAGAAAGGACTTGTCTTATGTGCCGAGGTGGACACTTCCTCGTCGACTGCCAGAAGTTCCAGAAGACGTCAGTGCAAGATCGATGGGCAACAGTAAAGAAAAGTCACGTTTGCTTTAAATGTCTTCAAGGGAAACATCGAAAAGTGAGCTGCAAGAAACCACCATTTAAGGAATGCAAGAGGTGGCATCATCATTTGCTGCACGTCGAATCAGAAAACAGGATCTCGGGAGAGAAGAAGGCGGAAACACAAGAAGAAGTAGCAAGCGTCATGACATCAGTGAATGCAGTCAACAACGCAAGGGCATACATAAAGATAGTTCCAGTAGATAATCTTCGGGCCAAAAAGAATCCAAAAGAATATTGGCCCTCATGGATGAAGGGTCGACAGTATCGCTTATTGATGCAGAGGTGGCAGAAGAAGTCGGCGCTCAAGGCAACAAAGAGGAGCTGGTCATCGAGACAGTAGGAGGCAGGCAAATCAAGAAGAAGGATTCTCAGACGCTGGACCTTGTAGTGAAGGGGGTTCATGAAGGAAGCAAGAAGACCTTGAAGAGAGTCTGAACTATTAACGAGCTGATGCTTACACCACAGTTCCTAGAGAAGAAAAGGATAGAAGAATGCCAACATTTGAAGAAGATCGCCGACTCTATTTATTACAAAGGGGAATCACCACAGCTGCTCATCGGTCAAGACAACTGGGAGCTGATAGTGACTCAAGAAGTAAGGAAAGGGAAACCAGGAGAACCAGTTGCTTCAAGGACAGGGCTTGGATGGGTGCTCCACGGATCAGACATCGGGGCTGTAAGAGTAGTACACTTCATGAACACGTGTTTACATATCAGCACACCAGATGAAGAGATTCATCAAGCCATCAAGGACCACTTTGCAATCGAAGCGCTTGGCATGCAACCACGAAGACCCACCACAGATTCAGAAGGAAGAGCACTCGCCATCCTAGAGATAACCTGCAGAAGACTTGAAGATGGACGATTCGAAGCTGGACTCTTATGGAAAAATGAAGATGAACAGATGCCTGAGAGCTACACGTCTGCCAAGAACCGGTTGTTCAATATTGAGAAGAAGATGGATAAGGACCCTCAGCTGAAGGCAGAATATATCAAGCAGATCCAGCATCTTATCGACAGCAAGTATTCAGAAGAAGCACCTATGACACAAAAGGACTCTAAGAAGAAATGGTACCTGCCTCACTTCTCCGTGATACATCCACTGAAGAAGAAGATAAGACTATTATGATTTCCCAATTAGTGTCGATGACAATGCATACAATTTACTAGTGACGAATTATGTTTTGTTCATGAAATCATTATAATTTCATAATTAATATATAATTATATAATTATATTATATATTAAAACAATTAAAATTTACCTATGTTTCTACTATGTGTCAGGAAAGACTGTCTTAACCTCGTCCTGCCCATTGTGATTTCAAAATTACAAGACATACTTCACTGTTCCTGCCCATTTAAAATATTGTAAAATTCTAAATTCTGCCCACTGTCCTTCAAAAATCACATATTCAAATTTTGCGCCTAGAATTTGTATTTTCTACTCAGCTGTCGTTTTTGAAGTTTCCTGTGATTGGTTAGGTTATAACCTATAAGTGAACCTTAAATCTATTCGAGTAATAGACAACAGATTAACGTCAGAAGCCATTTACGTGTTAAACATGGAGTCACGTCGAAGAAGAGGTATGTTTAATCTCTTACTATCATTTAGATCGGTGGCTTTTCTTTATTAAAAATAAACAGGATTAAAGTTAAATAATCAATACTTTGACTTTTGTAACAATTTTTGATTTTAGTTAATAATTGTATTTTTAGTAAACATCAATAATATTATGTGATGCAAAAATCACATCGGGCAGAACTTTTTCGTAAATTGTGATTTTTTCGCAGAATTGGATGATGCAATTTATTAGAAGATTCCGATATTGGGAACTTCGTGCCTTCCGATGATGATTCGACGATCCGGAATTCGTACGACCAGAAAGCAGTATGAGTTCTACGGAGGGAGAAAGTGTTGGACCTGATATAAGTACATCATTTATACAAGCTCGCGGAAGGACTAGGCGAGGCACGCGGGGGAGTTTCTCGTGGACGGTCAAGAGGAGGGCGCGTGGGCGTGCACGTAACAGCACTGGCAGCAGAATAGACAATATACCGTCAACTACGGACTGGTCTCAGCAAGAATTTTCCCCTATTCAACGTTTTTTAACAGAACCGTCATACCAGCCCATTAATTCAGAACATTTTTCCAAGATTGACTATTTTGGTCAGTACTTCGACGACGGAATATTAACAATATGTGTCGAGAATACAAATCAAAATGCTGTTAAATTAACAGGTAACAGTTTAAATATAACACTGTTGGAACTGAAAATTTATATTGCATTGTGTTATGGCTAGTATCAATTATCCAATTCTTCGAATGTACTGGTCGAAAAGATGGTTGATTCCAGTTGTGGCTGATAATATGTCGCGAAATCGATTCCAACAATTACGAAACTCGTTGAAAAAATCCGAATGGGGTAATATGCGACTTTGACATTTATCAGGGGAAATACAACTTACCCCCAATACGAAAACACTTACTTCAATCTAGCAGAAAAAGCTGTACTGGCACTTGCAGACCAGCTAGTTCCGGATCACGTGCTATATTTCGATCGTTTTTTTTACTTCTCAGAAACTGTCAGATGAACTTTACGACAGGGGGATACTTTATACTGGTACTTTGATGAAAAACCGTATTCCACATGGGTGTCAGCTAAAAGATGATCGAATAATGAGGTCTGAGGCAGCACTCAGGTGCTGGTGAGGCCAGATGGTAAATTGGCTATTACTAAATGGTTTGACAACAAGCCAGTTATTTTTTTATGGACTATTGAGGCCGAGGAAAACTCTGATTTCTGTCAACGCTGGTGCAAAAAAACAAAAACACATCTAACTGTTACAAGACCACAAGTTGTACGCGAATACAATAAAAATATGGGTGGCGTTGATTTAGCCGATCGCTCACTTGCAGTTTGCCCTCATAGATACAAAACTAATAAATGGACACAGAGATTCTTGTCTCATATGATTGATTTGGCTGTCAGTAACAGTTGGCTTCTATTTAAAAAAGATGAGATAAAAAAAGGTGTACCAGTGAAAAAAATACTGAGGCTTCGAGAATTTAAATTACAACTTGGGGAAGATTTGTTAGAAGAAATCCTTCGAAGCACAAACAATCAAGAGAGCTCTGATGATAGTGACCTACAGACTAACCAGAATATTCCACGAAAAAGGGGTAGACAAACTATTCTTCCAAATAAGAGCCGCCGCACTTCTGAGGCAAAACATATGCCTATATTGGAAGAGAAACAGTCCAGGTGCAGGTCCTGCCATTATAACAAAACACACTTTAAATGTAGTTCATGTCATATAAACTTGTGCTTAACTAAGCAAAGAAATTGCTTTGCTGATTTCCATTCCTAACTATTTTTTAAAAGGATTTGATTTTTTAAAGTTTATTAAAATTAAGAGAAGGTTTTGGTTATTTTTATTTTTTGTTTTAATTGTTTAATTATTTTTAAGTCCAGAGAGGCTGCAATAAAAGTTAGTACATTAATTACTAAATAAAGAGATGAAAATTCAAGACTGATTAAGAATACATAATAAATAACATAAAAAGTTACTCTTGTTTTATTTACCCCATTGTACCCAGTGTCTTTTATGAAGGACAAATAAAATACAGCTGATTTTGGTAATTCTGCCCAGTGTACTGTAAAAAGAACAAAATGTATGATTTTAAAAATAGCGTGAATCGTTTCATTATGATCTATTTACTGCCATAAAAAATATAAAAAATCTACATCTTATGCAAGACCTTTTTTTTGTTCTAATAATTCTGGGCAGGAAGCACTTGTAAGATTTTGTACTTTGAAGAGAACAGTGGGCAGAATTACCAAACAGGTTCTAATTTGCTTGGGCAAGATGAGGATATCTTGGAATCTTTTCCATAGAAAATTCTATTGCTATAATAAATATAAACCAGAAAACTGGCTATCTAGACTTTTCATTAAGTTTGTTGTTGGAAGTTCAGTTAGTTTATCTTTTTTGACACTCTCTGCAGATCTGTTAGCATATTAACTCATTAGAATATAATTTAAATATAATTATAAAATTAAAGGTTAGCTCTCAATAATAATTGTATAAGAAAGTTTTTAAGCGAAATTTGCATTGTAAATATTTATAAAAAAATTAAGTTTTGTTTAGCGCTTGAAAACTAGTGTTAGATTAAAGGTTTGAATGTAACAACAAATATAAACAAAAGGCATAGGTAGATCAGACATCCGTTTCATTTTTAATGATGACGATGACGACGACGATGATCACGAGATGACGATGACGATGATGATGATGATCATGACGATAATGATGATGATGATAACGATGACCATGACGTTGATGATGACGATGACGATGGAAATGATGATGACGATGACGATGATGTAGACGATGACGATGACGATGACGATGACGATGATGATGACGATGATGATGATGACCATCACGATAATGATGACGACGATGACGATGATCATGACGATGATGATGACAATGACGATAATAATGACGATGACGATGTTCGTGACGTTGATGATGACGATGGCGATGACAATGACGATGTCGTTGACGTTGATGATGACGATAATGATGACGACGATGACGATGATCGTAACGAAGACGATGACGATGATGACGATGACAATGACGTTGATGATGACGATGACGACGACGATGATCATGACGATGACGATGACGATGATCATGATGATGATGATGACGATGATGATGATTACCATGACCATGACGATAAAGATGACGATGAATGACGAATGGCGATGATGATGACGATGACGATGTCGATGATCATGACGATGACGATGACGATGATGATGATAATCATGGCCATTACGATGAAGATGACGATGAATGACGAGGGCGATAATGATGATGATGACGATGACAATGAAGATGACGATAACATCATCAATTTGGTCGCTAAACTATGGGCTCTCTATCTAGGGCGTTTCGACTCTGGCGTAATGATGACGACGATGACGATGATGATGACGGCGATGACGGTGATCATAACGATAATGATGACGATGACGATGATCATGACGATGATGATGATCATGACGATAATGATGATGATGATGACGATGACGTTGACGATGACGTTGACGATGATGATGACGATGATGATGACGATGACGATGACAATGACCATGATATTGACGATGACGATGATGATGATGACAATGACGATGACGATGAATGACGATGGCGATGACGATGAAGATGACGATGACAATGAAGATGAAGATGACATCATCAATTTGGTCGCTAAACTATGGGCTCTCTATCTAGGGCGTTCCGACTCTGGCGTTCCCTTCTGCAAAATAAATTTGTTCTGCCACTCTTTTCTCGTTTATTCTTTACTAGCTGTTACGCGCGGTTTCGCCCGCATGGTCACTGAGAAATGAACTATCCATTACTTTTTGAATAAAAAAAAATGAGTTTTATAGATTTAAAGGAAACTGAGCAAAATTGATTCGTCAGCCTATTTAAATATTTTGAAACACAGCGTATAGGAAAGCATGAAAATTGCCTATTTATTCCAAATGGAAATGGGATATTTTTTAATTAAAGGAAACTGAGCATAATTATCCGTCAGGGATGCAGACTTTTGAAATGAAACTGAGCTAAATTGATTCGTCAGAGATGCAGTTTTCTGAATTGAAAGGAAACTGAGCCAAATAAAAGATCCGTCAGAGATGCAGCCTTTTGAGTTGAAAGGAAACTGAGCTTAATAGGTCCGTCAGAGGTGCAGCATTTGGAATTGAAAAAAAAACTGAGCTAAATAGGAAATTTTGAATTGAAAGGGAAGATCTGTGGGAATTCTGATTAATTGATTGTGGGAATTTTGGAAAAAAAAACTAATTGAACACTATTTTAAGATACTGTACACAATGTTATATGTTTTTCCATTCGGGGGAAAGAATGTGGAGATTCTGGGCATTTGACACACGCGAACATGCTACATACAGCTGACCATGAGAGAAGCACGGTTTTTCTAAGTTGACCCCTGCTTACTGTAACGTATGCCCTCTCATCATCATCATCATCATCACAGCCCTTCACAAGTCCACTGCTGAACATAGGCCTCCCCCAAGTAATGCCACAAAGCACGGTCCTGAGCCACCTGCATCCATCGACTTCCTGCATATCTTACCAGGTCGTCACTCCATCTAGTGCGGGGTCGCCCTACACTACGCCTACCGGTACGAGGCTGCCACTCGAGAACCTTTCTTCCCCATCGGTTATCGGTTCTTCGAGCTATATGGCCGGCCCATTGCCACTTCAGCTTACTAATCCGTTGGGCTATGTCGGTCAATCTGGTTTTACTGCGGATATCCTCATTTCTGAGTCTATCACGCAGAGAAACTCCGAGCATAGCCCTCTCCATAGCTCGCTGAGCGACCTTGAGCGTCCTCATACGGCCAGCAGTGAAGGACCACGTCTCTGATCCGTAAGTCATCACTGGCAACACGCACTGGTTGTACACTTTAGTTTTCAGAGATTGAGGTATACCTGACGAGAAGATATGTCGTAATTTCCCGAACGCTGCCCAGCCGAGTTGAATCCGTCGATTGACCTCTCGGTCGAAGTTGGACTTACCTAGTCGGACTATTTGTCCCAGGTAAACGTACTCGTCAACAACTTCGAGCATAGTGCTCCCAACAACTACCGGCATAGGTGTGACATGGACATTAAACATAATCTTTGTTTTGTCCATGTTCATCTTAAGACCTATCTGTTGGGAGGCACTATTGAGGTCATTGAGCATAGTGCTTAAGTCCTCCAGCGATTCTGCCATAAGGACTATATCGTCGGCAAATCGAAGGTGAGTGATGTACTCGCCATTGATGTTAATACCGTATCCTTTCCAGTCCAGTAGCTTGAAAACGTCTTCCAATGCAGCGGTGAAGAGTTTCGGGGATATAACGTCACCCTGTCTTACACCTCTCTGCAGTTGGATAGTTTCGAGCTCTGGTTCTGTACTCGGATAGCCATCGTAGCCCTACTGTACAAACACTTCAGCACTTCGATATACCGACAGTCAACTTGGCACCGCTGAAGGGACTGCAGCACCGCCCAAATTTCGACGGAATCAAAGGCTTTCTCATAGTCCACATACGCCAGGCAAAGTGGCAAATTGTACTCTTCAGTCTTCTGTACAATCTGCCGCAGGGTATGTATGTGGTCTATGGTACTGAAGCCTTTTCGGAAACCGGCTTGTTCGGGAGGCTGGAAGTCGTCGAGTCTGCGTGCGAGACGATTCGTAATGACTCTCGAAAACAGCACGTAGACGCGGCTCAGAAGGGAAATCGGTCTGTAGTTCTTCAAGAGAGCGTTGTCGCCTTTCTTAAAGAACAAGACCACCGCACTTCTGCTCCACGCCTCTGGAGTAGTGCCACCATGGAGGACGGAATTGAAGAGCTTCTGAAGGACTTCAAGTACCGGTGTTCCACCCGCTTTCAGAAGCTCCGCTGTAATTCCATCCTCGCCTGGGGCCCTGCCGTTTTTAAGGTGCTGGAGAGCCATTCTAATCTCGCTTAGACTGACGTCCGGGATATCATCGGAATAGTGTCGGATAAGACTTGCTCTTGGATCGTTACTCACACTTGCGTGTGGCTCCAACGATGATGTGTACAGCTGCCCATAGAACCTCTCAATCTCACTCAAAATCTCAGGTGTCCCGGAAACGATGCTGCCACACTCAGTCTTCAGCCTTGACAGTTGGCTCTTTCTGGCAGACAGATCTCTGGCAAAGACTTTGGAGCCCTGGTTCCGCTCGATCGCTTCTTTAATACGAGCAGTATTAAAGTTGCGTAAGTCTCGCCGCATGCATTTGGAGATCTGTCTGTTCAGTTGCCTGTATGCTGTCAAATCTGTTGACGATTGCAGCCTCATCTCCCGTCTAACAGCCATGAGATTAAGAGTGTGATCGGAGAGTTTTTGTGTTCTTCTGCGGCGGGTCTTGCAGAACTTAGCTCCGACCGCATGGACAGTTTCCACGAGCTTGTCATTCATATCGTCCACTGCATTGCAATCTTGTAGGCACTGAAAGCGGTTGTGTAACTCGAGCTGAAAGTTTTCGGGATTTTGGATCAGAGCACGAGGGGGATGGAGCGTTGACTTCATTAGACGAGACCTCTCCAACTTAACGTTTAGGTTCAGTGTGCCTCTAACCATTCGGTGATCGCTGCCAGTTTTCACCCTTGCGATCACTGAGACATCACTGAACAGTTGGCGTCTGGTCGTCATAATGAAGTCAATCTCATTTTTTGTCGAACCGTCGGGGCTCGACCAGGTCCACTTCCTGTGGGGCCGCTTCTGGAAGAAAGAGTTCATCATAAAGAGTCCCTCTTTCTCCATAAAGTCGGCCAGCTGCTGGCCCCTTCGGTTCCGTTGCCCTACTCCAAATTTCCCTAACTTCAGCTCACCGCTTTCTCTTGTGCCTAGTTTTGCGTTGAAGTCTCCCATCAACACCGTGTAGTGGGTTTTGGAGGAATGTATGGCTTTGGAAATATCCTCATACATTTCCTCCACCTCCTCATCGGAATGTGCCGACGTTGGTGCGTAAACCTGTATGACCTTCAGCGAATACCGTTTGGTGATTCTGAGTATCAGGTACGCGACCCTCGTCGACACACTCTCAATCTGTACAACGTTGTTGACGAGAGACTTGTGGACGATAAATCCGACACCTCCTTGGGACAGATGGTCGCCCTCCCGGTGATAGAACAAGTTGCCGGATTCGAGAATCACCGTGTCCTCCCCCTCTCTTCGGACCTCGGATAATCCTATAATACTCCAGCGCAACTTGTCTATCTCTTCTTCCAGCTCCAGGATCTGCCCTTGCGCTTCATTAATTGTCATTGCAAAACTGAGCTTAATAGGGAACTGCAACCTTTTGAATTGAAAAGGAAGATCTGTGGGAATAATAGGGATCCGTGGTATAATAACATTTTCACCTTTTCCTACGCCTGTCAAAATTCTATCCAAGATGTGTCACACGCAGCCTTGTCTTGTTACATAACCGAGGAGCATCTAAATTTCGCATTAGCATGACTGGGACGCCTAATTTTAATTGAAGCTTATGTGAGGGCACACCTGACAAATCTAGAGAATTTAAAAACTCTACGGGATATGAAGTGCCCTGTTCTGTGTCCATAACTGTGTCTACTGACAAATGCTCTGCTATTTCTCCTGCTACTTCGCTTAATATATCTGAATTTGTTTTGTTAACGCTCTCATTTTTTGGTGCAAGAATCGCCCTTTCACATAACCATTTTTCTTCATGGATGTTGTTCGTTAAATTTAAATAAACACTCGCAATTAATTCGGAATGACTCTGTAATAAATTACAAATATCTCTCGTCAATTTAACGCATCCCTCAGCATCCGTTTCCAACCGCCCATCGTCAATTTTTAATGTGTCAGCATAGTTTCCAGTATTCATATCATTATACAAATGCACTCTCATATTCGTAGTTAAACTGAATTTTGTCACCTTGTACCATAAAATAGACGACTTGAGGCATGCTTTAATTTCATCTGCAGGTGTGCCCTTTTGAATGACAGGTAAAGTGTGGCGAAAGTCACCAGCCAGTAAAACCACCATTCCTCCCATTACATCGGTATTGCGGCGCAAATCCTGGAGCGTTCGATTTAGTGCTTCTACAGCTTTTTTATGCGACATTGTACTTTCATCCCACGTAATAGTTTGCGTAGCATTATAACTCGTGCACTATTTTTGCTA